GAAAGTCCGGATGAGGATGCTGAATGGCCTGAAGAGGAGAACTGGGATGATGCTGGTGAGGTGGAATGGGAATAAAAACATCTCCCATCATTTTTGTGCTCAAATATCCGTAGATGGTTGAAAGCCATTTGGACCTCAAGGTTTAGTTGTTGGCCAGGCATGGCAGTATGTTGCTTGGGGCTCTCTCTTCCGACTTGGAGAGAATGAATACCCTCGGCATTTGAAAAATATTTTGTTTCATTGAACCCTACCAATTTCGAAGAAAACACAATCTCGTTGTTTGTGTTGCCGGGGCGGGGCGCAACATGCAGTGCCTGCATCCAAAGCACCGATGGCACACAGAAAAGATAGATGTGTTCCCGCAGCCAAGTTGCAACCCGCTGTGAGTTTTCATGTGCAGATATGCAGAGTTTCGATCCAGCGCAATTTCCTTGGAAGTTTGTGTGATGCCCGCAGTCTTTTGGGGATCGATGTGAAGACCACATCGCAATCATATTTCCATTAAACATTTGTTGGGGGCCCTTAATGGGGAAAATAAGAACAATGTCGGGTTTCAAAAGACCACCAACAATATTTCATCTTCAAGTCTAATGGTATCTTAGGGGTTTCTTGGAAAGAAACCAAATCCTGGAAACGCAAATCTTGATGAGTATTAACTGGATCCCATTATCGGTTACATGTACTTGGGTATCAACAAACAGATATCGCCTACTTGTTTGTTGAGCCACTAGCCCTCAGGTCCAAACATACGTTGATCCCTCCAAAAAGTCTACAACAATGGGGTGGGAATATACATTTGTATATTTTTACATATCTATAGTAAGTTCATACATATGTACATGCAAATTTCAAAACATATGTATGTATATAAAAATATATGCTTCATTTTTATCATGTTTCTACTTATCAGTCAAAGTTGAGGGGCCTCATATACCTACTCCGTTACTCAGAAGCCACTACGATCATGATATATAATGGTTGATCCAGCAATGTTGTATTCCCGCAATTTCGACCAAGAATGGTTTGTCGACCACATACAAAGCAGTCCGACCTTTAACCATGACAGCTTGTCGGGGGGCCATGGAAGAGAACATCGCCCAGTTTGTTTCTGATACCGTTACTGAGCTCTTTGATATGCTGGGCAAAGGAGAGGTGGGGTTTAAGCAGTTCTGATTCCGATTCACTGATTGTTTCATATTCATTGCATACATTTCCAACATGTAGATGAGCCTTTGTTTCAACAGGTGGCCATGAAAAGAGTGAAATCACTCGTCAGTTGGTGGCTTATTTTTTGAAGGTTGGCCCAGACCCTTACTGCCCATAATATACAATATGATCACCTGCCCTCATAGCGGCCAAGGTCGCTTCGATCGCTTGCCGTATCATCTGATTCCTCAGAGCGTGCGGGATCTTGCAGAGTCTATCAGGGCTAGACAGACGAGTAGAGGATGTGGACCCGTTCTGTGGAAATGGATCATGAAACAACCATGGCGCCACTTGTTTTATGTAAGCCTCAGATACACTGTTTGGTGTGACTTAGTTAATATTAATGTAACTTGAGGGATACCTATTTACAACGAAATATGTTATCTAAGGAAAAGCTCTGCCGCGTCCATTTGAGAATCTAACCTGCAACCAGAAGACTATGTGTTTGTGAAACATGTGGAATCTTACAATCGTTGACAGCACTGCTCCCAAGTAAGGATACCCTTGACTGTGGAATCCTGGCTGAAGTGGGTGACCCCATTCAGGGTTTGGGTTGGAGGTCCACTTGGGAAAAATAGAACCATATAACGACTTTCAACGGTAGATTTCTACACCCATGATTTCATTTCAGATGTGAAATATGTTTGAACTTAATTTCTCCGGGAAAGATTCCGACAACACACCCACTACATATATATGTTATGGGTCCATGCATCTATGCTCCAAAGGCCTGGGAAGACTCTCATGGAGTGGAGGAAAAGATCATGAAGCAAGCGATGTACCTACCGCACCTGATACTTGGGTCTTTGTGTGCGGCAGGGAAATCCGAACTGGTCGCTGGCAGAGAAGTTTCTTGTTTAAAGACATCAGCTACATCAACGCGGTGTGTATTCCAAAAACCAAAACCTAAAATTGAAAATAACACAGCGGACCATCTCGTGAGATGTTGCCCATCTGAGGCTCTATCCAATTATTGGAAAACTCTGGCTCACACTTCATGGTTCAAACGGCACCCGATTCTTTCAGCCACTAGCCGTACAAAACTGTTGTTTCTGGGTGTATGGAATGATGATGAAAATGATGATGAACATTATGGTAAACATGATGGTAAGTAGGGATGAAGTTGGTAATGATGTCAAAGATGTCAGCTTTGTTTTTTTGAATAGATTGAGTTTCGGCCTCAGGCGGAATCTACAAACTTGGACCGTGTGATCCCATTTCGCTTCTATGGGGACGGATGTGAAGCTATGAGCCTCTTGGATGTCGTGAAAACCCAAAAATCAAGTTGATGAATGTAACTGTGGACCATAAATCAAATCTGCCGCAATTGAAGTTGAAACCAAAAAACATAAATCAAATCTGCCACAATTGAAGTTGATATGCTTTCTGGCCATTCAACAAACTAAGAAAAGCAGAAGTTCGAGCTCATGTCGCTGATCTGCCCAGCGTCCTCAAGATCGGCCACGCTGGATACCAGATTCTTGACACTTCGCTGCATGCCAGAGTTGCCCACCACTGCGCACCATGGCAACAACAGGGATCGATGGGTTGATGGTTGATACTTTCTAAGGATCACTGTCATGAATTCCTCCTACGCTCGGGGTGGGGCCCGTGATTTGGTGCTGGAGTATGTGAGCTGGAGCATGAACTGCTTAAGTTTCTTGACCCCAAGTGTCATGCACCAATGTATTTTTTAAGTACATAAATCCCTGATGCAAAACATATTCTGAGGTAAAACGCCTCTACAATATGCGAGCTTGACATTCATTACCTTAACACCATTTTTTTCATATGAGCTTGGCATGGATTACCTTAACACTTGTCACTGTCCCTCGGCTATCCTAGGTGATGGGCATCATCCGCATCATGACCCTTTTGGGCGTCTTTTCGATGACCAATATCACCCTGATTTGGCGTCTCTGGCAGGAACCGAAATTATTCCTGGTTACAAGGCTGTCTTGGAAGGAATTCAGTGTGACCAGGAGTATTGCAAATTGATTTTTGGGTTGAACCACTACTACAACAGAAAACAATGCTGCCACCTGTGCAATGTGATCCAGTGGACTAGTCGATGTCCCGCTCCTGGTGAATCAAACGACCCAAATGATTTGTATACCAACTTCGCAGCTGATGAAACCAGAACGAACCCCAGTTGTTCATTGGTATGGTTTTTGTTTTTTCAGCATGTTTTTGCAGGGACTGTCTGAAGAAAACATGGCTGTAGGGTTTGAACCACTGGTGAATATATAAGGATTGTCGATTTGGCGACATTCATTCAGATTCATGGGCAGTCAGCTATGTCTCGGGTGATCGGTTTTTCCCCTGACCGTTTCTTGGCATCACTATCTTTTAATATTTGCAGTAGTGACAAAAACACGAAATTGTTTATATGATTGTTTCTGATTGTTCACATACGAATGTTTTTGATAACTGGATATCTTTACATTCTTGTTTGGGCACAACACCATCTCCCAACATGAGACAATTTTCATTTGGTTGTCACATTTTTTTGGGGGAAAACAACAGCATTCTAAATCACCAAGCATTCAGCTAAGGCATATTGCCGGACATTATGCACATTTGCCACTTGAGTCTATACCCTGACGCTTTCTGTTCAATCCTTCTGGACTTAACTGACGATCAGAAGTTTCTCCCTGGAAATTCTCGGGACGCTAGATTACACCAATTATGGGTATCGTACCGAAAATGGTGTGAGGAAGGAGGCTATGTTTGTTGTCCAAAGGTGCCCACAGCGTTCCCCCCAAAAAAAATCACAATGTTTAGATATTTTTAACTATCTGATTGCAACCCCAAAACCCTGAAGGTGTGTCGGACAGGGCGGCAAAGAAATTATTTACCAAAGAGGTTCTCCTACCTGGCGCTGGGAAATTTCCCGAACCATCCCAAAAGGTAATTTCGGCCACCGCATCTCGATATTTCATCTTCTGGTGCAGTCACATCATGAATGAATTTCTGAAACAAGCAGGGGGCAATGCTACTGAGTACATGCTGCACCTAGTGACGATTTCAATGTGTTTTAACTTAACTGTTCTTTCTTTAGGTGACCCCCTATGATATTTCAAAAAAAAGATTTCTTTGTGTTAGAGCGATCTGATCGAGGTATCAAGCTTCGCTTTTTGGATCTCTGTCGACTATGGAGTACTTGTCTCTGAAGGAAGGCCGTCTTTTGAGTGACAGCTCATGTACTGAGTACAAAAAATGTTACCTGGTTTACAGAAGTTCTTTGAATTGGCTGGCAAATGAAAACGTGGAACTTGGCAAATGTCGGTTTCACCTCCGGCCAAAGGTTCACCAGTTAGGCCATTTGGTCTACAATTTTTTGCCCCTTAACCCAAGGGGGTTCTCAAACTACCTCGATGAGGATTATATTTGTAAAACAAAACACGTAGCTCAAGCATGTCACCCTTTACATATGCCACTGCATGTTGCGATGCGGTACAGTGTAGCTGTGTGCCTACGATGGGATGGGGCCCTGCGGTGAAAACAACACAGTGCGAACAGATCGGGAATTTCTGGGTTTGGGCCAATTGGCTCTTTACCAGTTATATGAGTTTTAACCAGCTATGGCCCCAATTATACCAATCTAATTTTGATGAATGCCTAAATTGCAACCCCCTAAAAAAAACTTGATAAAACTTGGTTTGTTCGGTGGTTGATTTTTTGACCCATGCTCATGGATAATAGTATTCTGGACCAGGTGTGCATGTGAGAATGCGCTGGGGTCTCTAGATTTTTCCTTTTTTTTTTTTGTTGTGTGGTTTCGGCACCATCGCATGTCCATCGATGCTTTTTATCGCATGATGCTGCATTTTTCAGCAGCATGTGTATGGAAAGATGATCTTTTGGAGCGGAGACAGTCCAAGATTGTCACTAAAACAGTCTGGTCTGTGCAAGACACATCAACTTTGCTTCTCCTCAAGGGTACCTTTTTTCGTGCCAGAACGTGCCGTGCCGCCACGGTACTTATAATGCCTAACGGGCCCTATATATACGTCCCGTTAGCCCATGCTGGAACTCTCCTCGGAAAAATCACTACTTTTGAAGACAAGCACACCTTGGCTGCAGATGCCCTCCTTGTCAAGCTTCAACAGGCGCTCCGCCGCCTTTCACAGCGGCGTTCATCATGGGATGAGCGCGTGGCCTTCTTCCAATGGATAATGCGCGGAGCCATTGCGTATGTCCCTCTTGTTGGTCTTCCTCCCCCGATTGAGCTCCACAAAATTGACGCGGCCTTCCAGCATCTCCTTCTGGCAGGTCTGTGTGTCCGCTCCACTGTGGAGCGCATGAGTCTGCTTGTGGCCGCATCCAGCGGCGGCCTCCAAATTCCCAGCGTCGTTGAAAGCGTGCTAGCGGCTGCTGCTTCGGATCTGCTGCTCCTCCTCAGTGGTTACACAACGGCATCCATCCTTGCCCGGGATGCGTTACGGGAGGTTCTCTTCCTCCCCGGAGCGGAAGCCGAGCAGGCTACTGGGTTGGTAGTGCAGGCCATCCGTCTTTTGGCACACTACGGCATCTACATCAATGTGCAAACAGACCGCTTTACATCACGGGTTCTCGATGGGCTGCCAGCACAGTCTGCCCACCTTCTGGTTGGTCCATACAAGTCAACACCTCCCTCAGTCACAGTGGCTCGGGTTGGATTCGTGGCCAATACTTCCCGATTGCTTTTCCAATCATGGGACATGGAAGGGCGGCCAGCTCATAGCTGGTCAGCCGTTGGATTGTATCAAGAGGTTCTACCACCTGCATTCCTTTTCACACCTCTCCAATGTTCTCGCGCTGTCGCGCATGCGCAAGCTATAGCACGGCGTACCGAGTGCTCCCTTTTGCGGCCAGGCTTCCCGCCCCCCCAGATTCCTGAAGAATGGCCAGCCACTGCTTGGGAACATCCAGCTTTGTCCGCCAGCCCACGAGCTGACTATCTGGATTCCTTCACACCATTTCCCACGGGTGCGGACTTTGGCATATTCAGCGATGGAGGATTCTCTGGGGGCGATAAAGCGTCCTTCAGTTGCCAAGCCCGCTCCTTTGGTGATCCTCCCGGGTATTGGGATTCCAGCACTGTCATGACATCCCCCATAGTCAGTCGTCTTCCCACAGCCTATGGGAACGCTGCCTGCGACATCCACACCGCCGAGCTGATGGGCATGATTGCCGGCCTTCGATATCGCAGCCCGGCAATTGGAACCTGTATGTTGGTGACCGAAGCTCCCTTTTCTCTCTTCTCCGCAGCCTTTCCGATGCACACACTCCGCAGGGTGTCCTCCGCTCAGCCAACATCCCGCTAGTCACCCGTGTGCAAACTACTCTCCAACGCCTCAAGAAAAGTTGGGTGTCTCCACCAACAGCGCTTCCGAGCTTGCGCCTCCACCAGATTACGTTCCCTGACCAGTGGAATGTCCAAAAACTTGAAGCAGAGCGACATGTCTGGTACAGTCAGATTGCCTTCTGCGAATTTGGTCTGGTAGGTGTGGATGTACGTAGCCACCAAGTAGGAGCAAAGGTGCCCATGCCCATCATCGTCCAGGGCAATGAAGCACAAGATCGGCTGTGTGGCACTGCTCTGCAGCAGCCCCTTCCCCATCCTGTGCTACTGCCTTCCGGAGGCACATTTGCATTCCTCAGCATCCAACGTACCATGGTCACCTCTCCTGCACGGGCGGCTGTTCGCGCCTTGCTTCGGCAGCAGGCCCTCTCCGAATGGCAACGCCGTCCTGTTCAAGGTAAACTTGCTTCATTGCAACAGCGAGTCTTCACTGCTTCCCTTGATCCGCACTTCTATACGTCATGCTCAACGCTCCCTGCCTCATCTATTTTGCGTCTGGCGCATGATCCTCACACAGTTGACCTGTCAGCAACTATTTTCCGCTGCGTTCGCCTCATTGGTGGAGGATGGACTGAGCAGCTCAAAGTTCAGCCTGAGTATGCGCGTGTTGCGCAATTTCTATATGAGCGAAATCTCCTTGACACACCTTGCACATGCCCCCTGTGTCGACTCTCCCCGGGTACACCCCGACACACCACCATGGATTGTCCAGTGACGAAGCCATTGGCAGATGCTTTGCGCTCCATCTTCGAGCAGCATCTGCAAAAGCTGGATGGGCGGGGCACGATCTCATCTGCTGCTCGTGCGTGGCAGCGTTCTCTCAGTCAGCAAGGCCAGGCTCATCTGTTGCAGGAGCCAGACCCTGTATCCGCCAGGCAGTGGCCTCTTCTCTCTGCTTGGAGGTGGCTCGTGCACATTCCTTCTCGTCAGGCTGAGCTTACCTCCGACGTGGCTGGACACAGTGTGTCGGCAGTCTTAGCCGAGGGAGAAAGTGATCTGGCGCATCGCGGCGTCCTCCCGATGGATTTCGGTAATGCCATATACTGCGGGCGGGCCGTTCTCTTGCTGAGTATCAGGTCGCACCCTTGGATGATCTGGCCCCTGAGCAATTTGCACACCTCTTGCATCCTGACCAACTGGCAGACGAACTTGCCCAGGCATCTGCGCGGAGAATTCGTTTGAAACCAGTCCTCGACTTCACAACGCTTCTTTTGCACGGCCTTAGAGCCATTCGCTATCACTACGCCACTCGGATGTCCTTCTTTATCTCTTGTGTTAAGTTACATATGCACCAGCCAGAAGCTGTCCCTCATCCTTTGGTTCCTGCTGCCCGGTCTCCCTCAGACAGGTTCTCAGCCTGGTGCTCCACTCCGGCTGGGCATGGTGTCCTCCAACAACTGCGTTGGTTGGCACCTACTCAACCAATCCTTGTCGCACGGCTCCAGGCTGAGCTAGGCACAGTGCCTGCCTCCTCTCAAGCCTTTTGGGTATCACTCTCACAATTTCGAAGAGTTCCTATTCGCACGGGTACATCCCTTAGTTGGAGTTTTCACCTGTCGTGGGATGATGCCAAATCTCTTTACACACCCGCTGCACCTGTGACCTGCTCCCTGGTCCTATCCCAGCCCTCTGTCTCTGCCCCACCTGCGGGAAAGCGCAACTCAGTCCGCTTCCACCGAAACTTTGCCTTGTGTTTGGTGCGGTCAGATTGGTCCTTGTGTTTGCATCAGCTGCCGGCGGACAATTCACTTTCGTCCACACTGTGGCCGCTGGAACTGCGGGGCGCATCAAGCATATGCCCCACCCCAGACCACACCATCTGCCTCTGCCCAGACTGTGCCCACTCCTGGATGCACCTTGCAGCTTCCTCTCCAATCCGTGTGCTCCGCCCCGCTGCTCCGCGAGAGTCACAATATCGCTCAGCAAACCGGCCTCAGTTGCCGTCGCATCAAACGTTGGCTCCTTCGCTACCCCCAGAGGCACTCGGGGCCCATCCCTGTTTCAACCATTCGCATCGCATCGATTGTCTATCTGCTTTTGCCGGTGCTCCTGACCTCAACCCAATCTTCACCACAGTCATCAGCAACATGCGTCGGGAAGGAGCTCTCCTCTGCGCCGCTGCGCACGCTTCTCATGAACCCACCATTGAACTATTCCCTGTCCTTCAAGGGTCATTCTGGTCTGTGCAGAGGTTCCTTTTTTTTTCTTTTTCCCTTTCCCCTTTCTCTTCCTCCTTCTCCCTTCTCTCTTTCGGGTTCCCCTGCTTGCACCTTTTTCGTCTCTTTGTTCACCTTTCGAACAACTTCTTTCTACATCTAATACAACAACCTCAACAACAACTTGCACACTTCGCAATACGTTGCACTCAACAACAACAAACTCTTCACATTTGTCACTAGCCTTGCTTTGTAGAAACATGGTGATCTTGCTTCTCGGTTGCATTTTAATTTTGGCCGACTTGAACCCCAAGCTTCGGCCGGGGGGGAAGTGCGGGCCCGGTAGCGCTTGTCTTGGCGGGCTACCTGTTCCAAATCCAAATCCAAATCCAAAATATATATATATATATAATGGTGACCGGTGCATACATATACAGTTATATATATATATAACTGTATATATATAATTGTATATATATAATTGTATATATATATATTATATATATATTATATATATATTATATATATTATATATATATATATTATATATATATATATTGTATATTATATATATTATATATATATGTATTATATATATTTAATTATATATATATAACTGTATATATATATATTTCCCTACCTGCCAGGTGAGGGTTGCTAGATTTTAACAGAGCTCTTCTCCTCCTGCTCCTCCGCCTCCTCCGCCTGCTCTGCCTCCTCCGCCTCCTCACCCGCCACCTCCTCCTCGCAGTCCAGATCCCAGTGGGCACAGCCGGACCTCCACCGCGAGCTCCAGATCCCAGTGGGCACTGCCGGACCTCAACCGCGAGTTGCAGATCGCAGTGGGCACTGCCGGACCTCAACCGCGGCTTCCAGGTCGCAGTGGGCACTGCCGGACCTCGCGACTTCCAGATCGCAGTGGGCACTGCCGGACCTCAACGGGAATGTCAGAAAAGATGTCAGATAGAATGTCAGAAGATATGCCAGATAGAATGCCAGAAAGAATGTCAGAAAGAATGTCAGAAGATATGCCAGAAGATATGTCAGAAGATATGCCAGAAAGAATGTCAGAAGATATGTCAGATAGAATGTCAGAAGATATGCCAGATAGAATGCCAGAAAAAATGTCAGAAGATATGCCAGATAGAATGTCAGAAAAAATGTCAGAAGATATGCCAGATAGAATGCCAGAAGATTTGCCAGTAAGAAAATGTATAAATGTCATGGTGGGGATCACACGAAGTAAAGTAATTATATTTATAATTGTGCGTAGAAATATGTATATATATATATTCATACATAACTGTGAAGATGTATATACATATATAATTGTGCAGCAATAAATATATATATAATATATGTATGTGTATTTATATATATACACATAATTTTTAATTATGTGTATAAATAATCATGCATATAATTATTTGTTTAGTTCCTTTCATTTGGGAATCCAACCGTTTAAACTGAGCATGAAACCGCATGGTTTCTAGAGTTGACCTATTCCCATCCGTTGCCCCCGAGGAATAGCAACTCCCAGCAATGGGGGTTTCTGACGGTGTGATATGTCTCAATTGCAGTGGTTAATAGTGGTTAATAGCCAGAAACCACGATTTTAAGTGCATTTTCTTATTGAAAGGCTATTTCAGTGTATCAATGACAGTGGTGAATCCCCATTTTTCACATGTCAATAGTTAAATGCCTGCCATCATTGCTAGACCTATATATCATGTTGTTGGTTATATATTGTAAACAAGAATGTATATGATCCCTTCCCCCTAATACTAAACCTCCCCTCGGAAAAAAGATACTTGGAAGGGTAGTTTTTATTGTTTGGGGATATGTAATATTAGGGTTCGAAACTTTTCCCTACTATTAAATTTAAACCTTAAAGAAAACCAACACCTTCAATTTCAAAATCGATAAAGTATTTTTTTATCTATCGTAAAATATTATGTTGCCCAAAATTTCATGCCGAAGCTTTCCCTTAATATTAAATTCCAATGATTATGTAATTTGAACAATCCAACATCTTCAAGTTCAAAATATTGCAAGCAATTGAATTGCGAAGTTTTCCCCCATAGTATTAAAGTTAAAACCGTTTTTTTTATTGAAAAAACAGGCCCTGAAAAAGATTCGCAGTATCTCGCAGTTTTTGTTATTACCAGTACGGGGCGAAACCCTCAAATGGGACCTTCATTTTCAAATTGTTTCTAAATCGGGTTAGTTTAAAATTAAATTGGCCAATCTGAAATTTCCCACAGCGAACAATCTAGAGGGTTGTTTTCATTATCTAGGGGACGTTTGTTTAGTAATAGGAAGAAAGACTCTATATATGTATATGTATATATACACATTATATACCTGTATTTAAATAAAAAATATATATATATATATACACCAAAATGTTCCATGTATGGATTATTTCCCTACATTTACCGCAAAAATTGCCCAACATGTAGCTAAATATTACATGCATGGAGCATATGGGATATAGTAATAGGAGAATGGGTTATATATACAGTATATACCTGTAATTAATTATATATATATATACACCCAAATTCTCCATGTATGGATTATTTCCCTACATTTACCCCAAAAATTGCCCAACATGTAGCTAGATATTCCATACATGGATCATATGGGATATAGTATATAATAGGAACACGGGTTATACGGTGTGTATCCCAGGTACTACAAATAGCTTAAAAATGGGTATGTATATACATTTAAATATACCTATGTATAACCATAGGGTGGTTGAAGCGGTTGAATTTCTCCTCGTTCAGGTGAAAACGTTCCCGCAGGGACGCACCAAGCTGTGGCTAACGTGCGGCAAAGAGGTGGGACCCACGGGCCCAGTGGGGAACTGAACTTTGGTGCCCTAGGGACCCAGCGGAATCACGGCGATTTCCCTGGACATTTCCGTGGTGCTTCCCATGTTTTGATGGTTTATTTCCATGGAAAAGTGGTGATTAACAACCATGAAACATGGGGAATTCAAGCATCAACAATGATGGATGAAGTATTACAATGGAAAGTATCAATCGAATCTAATGTTTCACTATGCGTTTCATTGTGGTTTACGGTAGATATATCGAACAGTTTATAACTGGGGGAGCACCACCTTGTAGAACTGTCAGAGGAGGAAAATTTGGGAAAATTGTCCCATCCACCATCAGCACTGCTGCGCCTGAAATGTCCTGAAATTAGTGTTTCAGTGTTATTTTCCCGGCGAGTCGCATGTTTCCATCATAATTTTCCATAGCATTTTTGAACTAGAGGGTATCACCATAGCGTTGACCCATCCTCCGTGGAGATTGCCAGGCTTTTCGCAGTGCGATTGCCACACGGGGTGGTACAACAAGTATCCTGGTTGACGAAGCCAAATTTGAGAGGAAATGTTGTGACAAAGTGACATATATATATAATATTATATATATAATATTATATATATATTAATTTATTTACATTATATTATATATATATATTATATTATATATGTATATATTATTATATATATATATATTATATTTTATATTTTATTCATATTATATATATAAATATATAATATATATAATATATAATATATATATATATTGTATTTTATATTTTTTATATTCAAAATTATATTATATATATATTATGTTTGGGGGGGTTCCTGAGTGGGTACCCCTGGAAATCATTGCTGGATGGTTTATGGAAGTTGCAAATCCGGAAAAAAAGGATTTGGGGGTACCCCCATTGCAGGAAACCTCCATTTGACGGGTTTGATGTTAGTTGCAGGGAGGATATGTTGTTTTTTCCCCCTCGAACCTACCTGAGATGATGATCTTCCACATGACGGGGATATTGTTCTCATTTGGCCTTATTGTTCCGAGAGGTTTGAACACAACCCACTCAACTGGCAACATCGGGCAATTTTTTGAACACTCATGCTGAATTGTAGCATATGGTATGCCATGGTTACAGTATTACAGTAAAAACATGTTTTATGATTTAAAATGTTTGATGTGTAAACCCGAGTTTTCACACACCGGCCCCCTCTATGGTTTCCTTCAAGCGGACATAGAACTGGGGTAAGCAGAAAAAAATCATCCATTTCCCTCATTGGCGCCAGGAGCGTCTCTGTATTCTTAGCATATATTAGCATCATAGCATCCCTGTGGCTTATTTGTCCATGGCCTAGACCCTCAACGTGTCCCTGAAGTTAGTATATTACGGTTTCTAACTGGACTATGTGGATATAGATGATATCATGTCCCACAAAATTGTGCTCACAAGGGGTTGTAACATGTGCAACCCATTTAAGAAACATATACTGTACTAACTTCGGAAATCACCCCATGCTATGTTGATCTAATTTGTTCGTCAATTATCATGACCTCTATGACCAATCAAGCGCATTTTTTTGCCCCAAAAAAGGTAGACGCATATCTTTAGCGGCCATTTCAGGAACCTAAGTTAGAGGTGGCTACTGTACCATATATAAAGTCTATATAAAAGCTATGTAATGGGATATGCTATGAAATGCTATGCCCCTCAAATATGGTTTAGTATGGTGCAGTATACCCTCCAGTTTAGGTACCTGAAATGGCCACAGTTTTTTTCCCATTGTAATACTAGTTTTTCTTTTTTTTGAGGGAGTTGCTCTATGCTGTCAGAGTTCGATGTATGAAATATCTTGCATCACCCCGAAGTCGGGGCGAACTGGTTCAAATAGATTCTGCCAGTGGCCTTCCATAAAGTTTAATATCATATGAATCATATAACATATAATATAATTATATATAAACATATATATATATATCCTATCTTATATATAATCTTATAGTATATAGAAACCACCATCTCGAGGTAGTGCGCTGTGGCAACCCATTGACTTCCATATTGCTTTAGACTAAGACGAACGGTGAGCCCTGGGATGCACCAACCAAAACCACCAAGAAAATCATTTGGGTGATCCCTCTTGAATCCCTATTGTCATCCAGTACTTTTTACTTGCCCCGCCCTGTCTAAATCCATTGCACTTTGTTAATTTACTGGAGGCTTTACCCCGTCCCTATTCGAGTTTTATGATGTTGAGTACCAGCTACAGCCATAATTCTGTGGCATTGGGTCCAGCACCAGCTACTATACCGAGACCGTCAGTGGCCGGCAATGGCCGGCCCACTGTTTTTCGCATATTTAAACCTTAAACATGTTGAAATCGCCTGGGAAAAACGTATATTTCATAGGTAGACCTATTGTTTTCTATAGGTTTTTCATGATTTCGCCAGCCACACCGCGATCCGCAAAAAACGGTTCCTGCGAGTCCTGGGGGCAATGGTGCCCACGGAGTCTTGGAAGTGCACGAGTTCTTCAAGCCTTGCCCTGGCTTCGAGAAAGGCGATTGTTGCTTGGATTAGTATATGCTCCATATGCTCCATGTACAGAATATTTAGCTACATTCCGGCAATTTCTGGGGTAAATGTCCAGCACCATAGAGCATTTGGGTATAATTTGTCGTTCTCAAAAGAATAGTGCAATCCAATAAGGAAGAATGTATTTGGATTAGAGTTTCTCTTGGTTGGCGATGGGGGTTTCATGATAATCAACATCACATTATCATTTAGGTCATTAACACCACATGAATCCAAATGACAAATAATCAAACACAAATTCTGTAGCAACAATTAAAAAAATGCCTTAATGAAAGACATAGGGTAATCCATACCGTAGTTAGTTGCAAGACAATGGCCAATAATGTATATAACTGTATGAATGGCAGTTAGCTAGCCATGAATAGGAAAATAATGGGTTTAACGGTTCGACCAAGAAAACGTTGTTTTTTGATGAACATTTATCATGCCCAGGGACTTGTGGAGGAAATGAGGTTTTTGACTATTATTGGATTGTGGTGCATTTCGATCAAAGCCATGTGGTCATCGCACCAGCGGAATACCGGAATTCCTGTTTCATCCGAGTAAATGGCTTGTCATTCTTAGTATTAAAAAACGTCCCTTGAAGATCGTTGAAGTGGATGTCAATCATTTTGAGCCCTAGGACATTCTGTTGAACTAGTGGTCCACATTTGAAGTTTGGTTCTGTTTCAATTGTGTTTTCAACAGCCATGGGTTTGCAGGTTTTCACATCGCCAAGCGGTCGCCCATCCTGAGGCAAAGGTCATTGTTACTGGAGTGAGGAGGCCATTTCTCCGAGATCTTGGAGTGGATTTCAAGACAATGGGAAGATGAACCCTCCCCGGGGCGACCAAAAAAAATTGTCCATGAGAGATGACACAGCCGACATCCACATCAAGTGCTCATGCTAATTCCCTCCAGTGATGGTGATCCGGGTGCTGATTTACCCCAATCGAAACTGAGGGTTGAAGTCAAAGCACTTGATTTACTGAATCAATTTTGTGATTGGCAGGCAGAAGCACATAGGCTTTACAAGGACAGTCTATATTGAGCGGAGAGATAAATAAATCAATCAATCAATCAATCAATATATCTACTATCGCGGACATTTTTTCATATAGTGTGTACATTGTGGAGAGGTCCCAAAGCAGATCGAAAAGAATCAAAGTTCCTCCAACATGTTATACGTGTTACCTCTACGTTTACACACTGTTTCACCCAAACGTATGTGTGGGGCGGGGAGCAACCCTTTTTTCGATGTTCCATTTGTAGATTGAGAGTCTAGCTTTGAGACTTTCCAGTCTAGGTTCTATAAATCAAGGTTTTACATGTTTAACCTGATTACCTTGGCTGACTAGACAGAGAGCCTGTCAGGCAGGGATCTGTTCGAAAGCTGTGCCCTGCCCTGGGCACGACAAGAACCTCGGCGCGTCGGGGTTGGAATGTCGGAATGTGGGTTGTCCATATTTGGAAGATCAGACAGACCAGGTACTTCTTGAGGTAGCTTAAACACTCTAAACATGCACCAAAACATTTCAGAGATGTGAACCATTTTGATTTATATGGAGTAATTATTTTCATACATTTGGCAGGTTGGGTTGCAACAATTATAACACATGCAATTGTTTGCAAAGGAAAGCCTTGTCGCACCCCACGGCCCTACAGTTTTCCAGGATTGCGGTGGGCTCAACATGCCTTTGTGGTGATAAAGAAGCCAAAGAAGGTCAGTTTTGCTCCTCAGCTGCCTCGGGTGGATTTTTGCATTGTTTTTGATCTGAAGATGGGAGGTCCACGATGCTGAGTGGGTGGGTGGTCACCCACCTTTGCAAGAGAAGAGTCGAAGAGCTGTCCAAGCTTTGATGTGATGTCTCCAAAAAAATATAAGCCTGTACGAGGTCCTCAAAATCTCAGCAAAAAGGGATCAGAGCACCTCCTTTTTGGGGCAAATTCATGGTCTACCCTCAGGCGATCAGGCATTTGACATGGCTTCTCATTGAAGCGTTCTTCGAGAGATTCCCAAAAGGAAACTGCTTCCTAATCTTTGATTTGGCCTCACCGTGACATCACTGGAATGATGATGTTTATTTGATTTTATAGTAGAGCTATCCCAAAATGTACTCATTTCAAGTTAGTGAACTATACTTTATGCAGATCTTCTCCAGAATCAGAAGGCAATATAAAAAGTGATTTGCTTCAGAGATGTCGGTGTGGTTGAGGAATGTCATGGATCATGGATTGCCATCCTGCATTTCATACCGAAACCCTGGTCAATAGATGCGTTTGGGATTTTATCTTGTATGGTTTAGTTAGTTGAACCTACGGTTTAACAGTCAGTACATAACACTTCAAAATACGCAATATTATATATTATATATTATATATATTATATATATTATATATATTATATATTATATATATATATGTATTATATATAGCAGCTACATGATCATATTTCATCTGTATATTGTTTTAACATATTATTTTTAAAATATGTAATGTACATCACACATCATTAATATAATACATTAATTATGTATAATATAAGAAATCTCTCTCTCTATATATATATATATCTAGATATAGTTTAATTACAAAGCATACTGAATATATATCATATATATATATATATACATATATTCAAATGTGTAAAATATGTATGATATAATATATATCTGTTCACATATCTATACACAAAATTTATTTAATAAATGTATATGAAATATACAATACAATAACTTATGTACACATATAGTTTCTGTAATAAAGCTGACATATATATATATGGTATTATATACGTATATTGGGTATAATGCATATGTGCATAAATATGTGCTCAGATGATTATATGGTCAGTTTCGCCTCATAATTGAGAATAAACCCACATACATGCATGCATGCATACAGAGATAGATAGATAGACATACATAGACATAGATGGACATAGATAGACATAGATAGACATAGATAGACATAGATAGACATAGATAGATACATAGATATTTAGTTAGATACATAGATACATAGATACATCCATACATGCATACATGGATGCATACATGCATACATCCATACATACATTCAGACAGACAGACATATATATATGTATATAGATATAACTATACATATACACATTATCTAGATAGATATTTAGATACAGCTGCATAGATACGCACAAATGTGTGTATATACAGTATATATATACATATATATTGTACATATTGATACACTTTTTCAATGTATATAGACTTAGCCGTATATATATATATAGATATATTTACACACGCATATATATATATATATATAAATATGTGTATGTATATATATATATGTATATATATACATGTATACATATAAATATATTTACACACATATATATATATATCAACATTAGTCCTGGGCATTGGGCCAATGGCTCGTTTTTCTCGGAGATGGCGATGGATATATGTATATATATATATATTGATATTGTTTATTGTTATTACTGTGTTATTTGCATTACTATTACTTTTATCGGGCACAGCCTTAAACTTGCATTGTGATGAATCGTAATAGATTCATAGAGATCACTCGGATCACAGGAACTTTCTCGTTTGAAAACCCCTCGGTTTCCCCCGTCGTTTTCCCAGTAAGCCAATGGTTAGCGGAGAAAATTAAATCTATTGGCACAAAAAAAGGTTCCGAGGACAGCACGGTGGCCGACTCAGCAAAGCCGGAGAAGAGTTTCTCGTACAGTGCCTTGGGTTGGTGCTTTCAAATGAGCGGTATTCAAAAGCCCTGCTGGTTGAATAGTTTAGGGATTATACTAACCAATATTGCTTGGATGATTAATGATGATTATAGGGGACGATGCTAACCAAGATTCGGAGATGATCACAATACATGAATGGGAAATCCATTCTTAACGAGCCATGTGATGATGACCCCAGTTGCAACGTATGAGTCCCAGCTGATCGGCGGCTCATTTTGTTGTTCAAAAACAAAAAGCCAAGGGAGGCTCGAGTGCTCAGATGATGTCAGATAAAAGGCTAAACCCGCAATTAATATCAACTACATTCAATTACTATTTTCCGCATCAACGTGGACGCGGTGCTTCTGTAATTAGGACTCAGGAGATTTAATGATCATTCATGTGGCTTAAGATCTCACACATCGAATGGCTACGTGGTTGAGGTGTACAATGCTCAGGACGCACATTTCGTTGATTGGGCCGGCCTAGGGGGGTTATTCATCCGGTGTTGACATATCAATCATTAAACCCCGTTCTGATGACTTTGTGTCTTAGGTCTACTTGCAAGCACGACCCCATTATGATGACTTTATGTCTTAGTTCTACTTGCAAGCGCGAAACATCTGCGGGTGGCCGGTGATAAGGGGATACTTTAAGCACATTCCCAGTGCTGTATTCATGCTCATGAATTTATCATGAATGATCGAATTATCGACCGATGGGAGTAGATCAAAACCTACTCCATCTATATTTTTTGGATACACATGAACTTACCAGCATTTTCCAAGATTTTCCAGCATTGTCAATCCATTTAGGAGTGAAAACCAGGGAATTGCGTGGGTTACGACGCGTACGGTGACCCCTTGTGAGGTGGGTCATCAGATCATCATATCCAAGAAAAATGCTGGAAAAAACCGTCCGGTGTCCTCAACCACAGCTCGGAAATCCGCGAACTAAATGTGAACATACAAATGGATGTTCAAATGTGAAAATAATCATATATAAATTGAGGTTCAGGTGGGAAAATGATCTGGAAATGCAGGCTTTAATGGGACATGCAATGATCTATATTTGCGGGAGTGTTACAGCTAGCATCAGCTACAGTAGCTATGTTTGAGGACACCGGAGGCAACCAAGAAACATGCTGTTCTACTTGGGAGTCTTTCATGGGATACACTGGAGATATGTCATGATATATGCAGATCTATGATAGTCATGATGTGGGTATGTTTGACAATCTTGGAGACAAGGAAACGAACATCTCACAGTTTGAACCTCATGTTTTTAATTGTTCAGTGTCGCAGTTTTGGTGAAGGTGAACTCCGTTTGGGATTCCCCAACAGTTGGTTTCATCTCTAAGGCTTTCTATGTCTTGTTGCTTCAACCCCTGTCCTGTGTCCCTTTTAGCAGTGGGCCGCCCTCCAGGTGTTCCTATCAGCTGGACCGTCTTCTTGGTGACACCGCTGGCTTTATGGATTGGATAAGTGGCGAGGCAGACGGCGAATGCTTGACCAACAGATGGTGGATTTTCACATGGGAAACCGAGAAATCCATGTATGTTTCAACAAGAGAGCCATATTTGGTGGGATTTTTTTGGAGAATTGGAACATATTCTTGGAGTCATATATCTCGGAGAATTGAAAAGATGTCGGCTAAGAGAGTCAAATGTTGGAACCGTGGTGGAAAAAATGAAAAAATAAAAACATGTTGGTGGGCCCCATTAATCTATGACATTCTGTGCTAATAGTGGGGTTGTTGATCTAGTCGGTTTGTACAGTTGCTTTTCTTTTCCTGAGTGACGTTTTGTACGGTTTGTTTTCCTTCCTGGCACTTGGCTAGTTAGTTCGTCACTCGTATTGACCATAGCGGCAAGTTTCTGGAGGTGGGACTTATGTTTTCCTTGTATTTCCTACTTGGTTTTGGTTCCCCTCCTCGGTGCCCCCGTGTTGGCAGAGCTCTTTGCCCCAAGGGCTTGCTCTCTGTGGCGCTTGCGTCCTTGGTGACCGAGCAGATTATCCAGCTACGCTGGTGTTTGGGGTGGCCTCTTTCTGCTGGCCTCTCTTGGCATGCAGAGATCCCACGCTGTTGTTTTGTTCTTTGCTGTTTGTCGTTTGCGGCAGGGTTGTTCTCCTTCCAAGAATGTTTTTCCCTGCCCAGTCGTCCTCTTGTTCATGAACCGAAAACGACAACTTTTGAACTTTTGTGGAATATTATAGATAGACTCTTAGACTAATGACTAATTAAATACCCACCAAAACTCTGGGTCACCATTGGATGGGTACTTTGACTGCTTGATATATGCGTTTGCTCCAATGGAGATATACTATGAATATTAGGTCATTTTTTTCAGGGTTTCTTAGATCGGCCGTGACACGGGGCGATAAACTCCATGTATTTTAGGATTAGGGTACCGTCTTTTAAGACAAACCTGTGCTGATTTGGCAGGGAGAGAGGGAGAGAGGAAAACACAGTCGAAAGCAAGGAAGGGAAGAAAACTAAAACATAATATAGAATAGAGAACAGGAGAAAGAGAGGAAGAACCGTCTTAGTTCAGTAGCCCGCAGGAGCCCCAACAAGAACTGAATTGCGCTTGCCAAACAGAGAGCTCAGAGGTGACTTGATCGGTCAAAACATGATCAAGAGGTACCATTATTTGTAGCATTTTGGGGGGATGAACATTTGTGCATATGGGGTAACAAACTCTTTTTTTAAGCATGTGAACCACATATAGCCATGGTTTTGATCATTGCCGTTGTTCGTTGTTCTTTGATGCCAACTGTTGGCAGTACAGTTCCCACATTTTCCATGGAATTTCCCATGCCTTTCCCTACCTGAACCTGAAATTCAGGCGACTGTCCGGCAAAGCTTGGAACGGACCCTGCGGACCAAGACGACTTGGTCGTCAACCAAGACTCGGGCGACCGGCTGTTCCAGTGAAAATGAAGAATGGGATGGATGTTGGATATATATATATATATATATATACATATTATATATATATACATATATATATATATATATATTCATTACCCAAGCACTCCAGTTACCTGTATATCCGGAACCGGCCTGGTTACCTGTATTTTAGGTAGCCAAGACTGGTTCCAGGAACCAAGCTTGGAACCAGCCCTGAGTAGGATA